TAGGATAGTTAGCGGCATCCCTGGCCTCTACCCACAAGATGCCTGCAGTCATGACGACCATATATGTCTCTAGATGTCAAGGGGCAAAGTCACTTCCTTCTTTCCATTGAGAACCGCTGCTGTGGACTGTTCTCTCCATATTGCTTTTAATTTTTCTTAATATCCTTCCTGGTTCTCCTCAGTGTCGATGCTGAGACTATTGCTTCCTGGACTCTCTAGCTTCAGGAGGTTGGTGAGTCAGGCAGGCAATTCAGCAAATATTTACTGATTGCTTACTGATTGTAGAGGCACTGAGTGGAGATGATCACTTCTGTGGAGGCCAACTCCTTGTTACATTAGTTACCTTTTTCAGAAACATTGTTCCCTTGTCCGTTCTGCCTAATATTTACTTTTCCCTTGACTTTCAGCCAGGTGGCATGAAACCACCACACATCTGGTGAGCAGACTGCTGTCAAAACCTTTATTCGTTTTAGAGTCATCTCATAAGAAAGTCCACTTTGGTTTTCCTTTATATAAATGGTCTAAGCTGGAAGCAGTGTAAATTAAATTATTTCTAGCCTTATATCTTAACTTAGTTGAGTAGCTGTTGCTATCAACAGGTGAGAAAGTTGTTTCATGTTTTCTTTTTTATCTGGAAAAATAGCTTGTCCAGAAATAATATCATATCTACTATTAATTGAGTGCCTGTTATGTGCTAGGCACTGTCCTGTGCTTTTTATGTTTAAATTCTCTAATCTTCAAAGTAATTCAGCTAGGCAGGTCTTATTTTTGTCATTTTACACATAGAAAAAGTGGCAATCAAAGATGAGTTGCCTGATGCTATAAAGCCCCTGTGGAGCAGGAGGGCTGGGATTTGCACCCAAGCCAAGACATGGTCCTGCTGTTTTCAAACTGTGTCTCTTGCCTGTTGTTTCTATTTCAGGCTCTTCCTTAATTTCTCACTCTCAAGGGATTATGTCTTGTAGCCCATTTCCCCAGCCTGTCTAGAATGTGGGATAGGAGTTTCTTGGTTGTGGCAGATGACACTTCAGTTTGGTGTTGAAAAACAACAGCAGTGTCTATGACGACAAGATGGCAGTGACCACAACACAGCTCTGGGCTGAAGTCCACCCATTAGACACACAGGGTGTGGCAGCAGCCGCCAGAAGAGAGTTTGCAGGTATAAATCTAGCTGTCGATAGGGAGCCTGTCTGTCACCTCTTCTGTTTGGACAGATGTTGGAGAATTTGGTCACATTTTGCCAAATTTGCCACCCAGCTCAAGGTTTCTACTATAGGACAGCAGTTCCAAAAATGTGGGTGGGGGATGATGGAGTTTGGATGTGTTGTCCCCTCCAAAACTCGTGGAAATTTGATCTCCAATGTGGCAGTGTTGGAAACTGATGGAGTCATGGGGGCGGATCCCTCATGAATGGATTAATGCTCTCCCTGGGGAGGAGGGGTAGTGAGTGAGTTTTCCCTCTATTAGTTCCCGCAAGACCTGATTGTTTAAAGGACACTGGCACCTCCTCTCTCTCTCTTGCTTCCTCTCGCCATGTGATCTGCTTGTACCCGCCGGCTGCCTGCCACGTTCCACCGTGAGTAGAAGCAGCCTGAGGCCCATGCCAGATATAGCTGTCTCAGAATCATAAGCCAAATAAACCTCTTTTCCTTATAAATTACCCAGTCTCAGGTATTTCTGTTATAGCAACACAAAATGGACTAAAACAGGGGATGATTCTAGGTACTGTAGTGGTGAAGTTTAAGTAATTAATGGATAGGAACTAAATCACTTTGAGATGTTTAGTGAGACACTTAACTTCCTTTTTCAATTTTCCTTCTACTTTTTAGCACCAAACACTTGCTAACGTTTCTGTGATGAAGGAAGAGGAGCAGAGCAGGCTTCAGGCTCAGAGACACTGCCAGCCACAGCATCGTGCTGGAATTAACATCTTTTGCTTTTCATTGTGCAGAGGAGGCCAGGGCATCGGATAGCCATATTGAGAGGGCTCAGGGAAGGTGACCACCAGGCCACGGTGGTGCTCGAGGTCGCTGAGGGGTATCACCTTCTGGGTGCGGGGTTAGGGTGGAGCACTGTGGGGGGCACTCACACTGAGGCCACAGGCCACTGACCACTGGCGCCAGCCTGGAAACCACTGGAGAGCCTTTTCCTACAGCAGTGCCCCTCCAGCACCCTCTACTGAGAGAGTTTAGCACTGCACTCTCACTGTAAGGGAGACAGACAGGAACTCCATTCATTATCCCAGAGCAGGTTTTGAAGGGTGACTTTGGTACCGGGAGGCAATACATTAATAACTGGCATGAAGGTGAATGGGTGTGGGGCAGGAGAGCCCCTGATGACATGCAGAAGAGCTCCTGCATGGACAGGATGGTCACTCTTGCTGGCCTCCAGAGAGGCTTCCAATTTGTGAAGTGAGAGACTGGAACAAAATAGAGCTGCAAAATAATTGTGCAGACAAGACTGTTAATGGCATTGCAGGGTGCAGAGAGCTCTTAGCTTGGGTTCTTAGTCAGACACACCAGGGTTCCACTCCTGCTTCCACCACTCAGTAGCAGACGTAGCAGTAGATCTTGGGCAAGTCACAGAGTCCTCTGGGGCTTAGTGTATCCACTGTGAAGTGGGGGATGCTGCTAGTATCTTCCTTGCAGGATTGTTGTGAACATCAAATGAGGCCATGCATTTCTCTATCCTTAATATATTGATAATCTGTGCCCTTCTCATCACCCTCCACTGTCACCACCCTAGTCTGGACCCTAGTCTTTGCTGGTCTGGACCATGGCAACAGCCTGCTAAATGGTCCCCATTTACACTTATTTATTTATTTATTATTTTTGCTGCTGATCAGTTCTGAACCCTTGACCTCGATGTTATAATGCCATACTCTGAGTTCACCAGCCAGCTCCATTTTTTGGTTGTTAATAAAACAATTTTAGTAAGATATAATTCATATACCCTAAAATTTGACTATTTAAAGGGTACAATTCAGCAGGTTTTGGTATATTCATAGAGTTGTGCAGCCACCACCACAGTCAATGTTAGAACATTTCGTTACCCGAAAAAGAAACCCCATACCCATTACCTGCTTCTACTCTTGCCCACTGCAAGTCAGTGTCTTCTCTGCTCAGCAGCCAGGGAGACCCTTTAAAAATATAAATCTGGTCATGCCATTCCCCTGCTTATAACCCTCCAGTGATCCCCACTGTGGATGGAATAAAATCCAGACAACTTGCCTTGGTGACAAAGCCCTGTGTCATCTGCCCCACCCTCTCCTCCTCTGATCTCATCTTTTACTCTCTCCCCTATGATTGGTGCATTCCTGCTGCACCAGTCTTCTTTGGGTGCTTCCCGTCTGCTAGGCTACTTCCGACCTCTGGGTCTTTGCTTTTGCAAATCCATCTGCCTGGATCACACTTCCCTGCATGGTTGCATGGCTGCTCCTCCTTGTCACTCAGCTCAGCCGTCACCCTAGCCTACCTGACCACCCAATCTCCCGGAGCCACACCCCCTCCCCACTCATTCTCTTGCCCTTGGCCTTAGTTTCTTTGGGGTATTTGTTTACTGTCTCTCTCCCCTAGACTACAAACTCCACAAAAGGAAGACTTCTCTGTCTCATTTGCCACTGAATGCCCAGTACCTAGGCGAGGGCCTGGCACTCTGTGAGCACTTGTGATGCTTGATGAGTGAATGTGTGACAAAAAAGCAGCTGTGATTACTTGCCTTATTTTGTTGTTATTATTAAGTGTTCACTAAATACTATTGACCTGAGAGTGAAATTAATCCTGTATTGAAAATGTTCAAGTTATATTCAGTGCAGGTAGAAAGTGAATGATATAGAAATCAAATTGATTAAATGAGATGGGCTTGGGGCAAATTACACTGGGCTGAGGTGACACACAGTCCTTATTTTATCCTGTGCCAGAGATTTACCCCTGTTTTGTAGTGAGATTGTGAGGCAAGAGAAGGCAAGGGTCCTGCTCCAGCGTTTGGTCTCCACAGGACCTAGAGTAATACTTTGTACCAGATGGAAACTTAATAAGTGGATACTTACTATTATGAATTTAACTGAAAAAACATGTAGTTCCGTAGACAATATATGTACAATATAAAAAATGCAAATGTTACTAAAGAATATATAGGAAAAGTTCTCCCTACTCCTTCCTTCCCAAAAGGAGCCAGTGTTATGAGCTTATTGTGGAGATTTTCTGTGCATGTGTGAGCGTGTGTCTGCGTGCATCCCTGCTTGCTTTTGTGCAAAGACTAGCATCCTGGACATACCTTTTAGCTCCTTGCTTTTCCATTTAGCACATCTTTCAGGTGGGGTCATTTTTTGCATACAGCTCTAGCTCATCCTTTAAAGACTGCTGGGAATTCCATTTTATGGATGATCCCTGTTCATTTAGCCAGTCTCCCTCTGATGAATGGTTAGCTTGTTTCCTGTCTTTTGCTACCACAGCGCAGGCTGCATGGAGTATCCCAGTGCTTTGTGCGCAGCGCACATCTGTAGGTTAATAATGAATAGTGTAACCAACAGCTTGACATGTGGAACCTTCTGCCAAGACGAAACAGGAAAAAAAACCAAAAAAACTCATCTAAGCAGTCAGTCTGAACCACAATCTGTGGTTCTCTGAATTCATTTTTCATCTTTCATTAGAAGCGTCAAGCTATGGGCTTCATCGTTACACGATTGTGACGGGATGGGGAGAGAATTACTGGCTCCCTCATGAGTCAGTCATGATCATCGGGAGGGTTTCTGCACATGGAGTGATGTGCTTCCTGCCAGAGTCAGCTTACAAAGGGGCCCAAGGAATGAGTTACTGTCCTTGTCAGCGTTCCACTCCACGCCGAGCACCAGTTTACTGGAATGAGGATGCTTTTTAAAGAAAGAGCATTGTCTTTCATCATGGAAATGTGAGCACCTGGGCAGGCAGCTTGCTGGCTCGCTCACCATTAGGGTCCTGGTGTCTGGGGACTGTGTCTGCTCAGCGCTGTGTCGCAGCAGCCCATGGGGGCCTGGCCTGGAGGAGGAAGGGGAGGAGGAGCGTCTGCAGCAGACAAGTGATATTATGTAAGTTGTAGTCACCATGGCTGGTTGGTTTCAGTTCAGCTGGTGACATCTCTGGCAGGGCTGGCAGGGCTGGGACTTTCTCCCTCCAGCCTGTGTGTGCTGTGGCAGTGAACGGGCAATTCAGCATGGGGCCATTTTATTGCAGGGCTTAAGGGTGCTGGCAGTTCTTGAAATGCCTTGTTTATAAGTTCTCCTGAAAGACAAGCTGCCCTTTTGGGAGGGTCTCAGAGTGGCTTTGTTTTGCCGTAGTGGTCCAGATTCCCCGATGTTCCCTTGCCTTGCATGGGGGTGACTTGGGAGTGGGGTGCTGGTGGGTTGGCGCTAGTGAGCTGCCCTCAGGAGAGCCAGGTTGGGGACGCCACTTGGAGTGAGTCTGCCTATAGCGGGCACACTGGCCCATCTCTAGGTTATGCTGGGCTCTGAGACATCGTCTTTCTGGCTTGCTCCTCTAATATGTTGCTAAAAAGGAGAGCCAGGGGTGGAGAGGAGATTTTCCCCTCCTCCCTTACATAATAATCTTGGTGTAACCAGCAGCTTTGAAAGCATGGGGTAGTGGAAAGACTGGACTTCGGAACAAGACCCACATGTTCAAGTCCAAACTCAGCTGTTTCTCATGTCTTGGCAAACTTGGGTGCGTTATTTAAACAGTTCTGAGCTTCCCTCTCTCATCTGTAAAATGTGGAAGTGATAATAGTACTTATTGCAATATCTTTAATTTCTTAAGTCTTTTTGTTTATAAATGAATCGTACTTTTTGAAATAAATAATTTGGGATTGGCGAGAAAGCATCTTTTATGTGGACCACAGCTTCTTGGAAGCCTCTGCTGTGTTTTCCCATCTCATGAAAAGTGAAGCCCCAAATAGGGCTGTGGTCCTGACTCAGCACAGAAGCTTTAGAGAAAAACATTCCGAGAAGGGTGGACAGGTGTGGGCGTGGCCTGACGGTGTGCACCTGTCTTTCCTACAGGTGCTGCGAGTGGCTGAGATGCTGTGGGAGAGGGGAGCCCAGGCCCCGCACTGTCTGGTTGGGGCACCCCGAGAAGAGGGACCAGAGGTATCCTCGAAATGTCATCAACAATCAGAAGTACAATTTCTTCACCTTTCTTCCTGGGGTATGTACAGGCAGGGACCATGCTCTTTTCTTTCTCCACCACAAATACATGTGATGGTACCAGTTTGAGAAGACTGAGGTCCTGGGGCAGATTTTGTGAATACCCTGTGTCTTCTCCATGCCACCTCAGGCACTGGTCATTCATCCTCCCTGGCCTCAGGACCTGCAGGGGGCTGCCTTCTGTCTGCAAGGCTGTGAGACTCCACGTGGTTGGTCAGAATAACTTCACATTTATTTGATGTGTTGGGCCTAAGAGTGAAAAAGATATTTTGGGGACTGAGCAATTATAAGCAAAATATTGGAAAAGAATATCAGCAGTGCTTAAATGTTTTCCCTTATCATCATGAAACATGTACTCAATATAGGAAAGTTGGGAGATTACAGTAGAGAGACAAAAATAAAGATACATTTTATTAATTTATTTATTTGTGGCTGGCTGGTGTGGGGATCTGAACCCTTGACCTTGGTGTTATAACACTGTGGTCTAACCCTTGGGCTAACCAGCCAGCCCTATTTATTTTCTCTCTTTTTAGCTTTTTCTCTGCAGACAGGTAAACACATTTTAATCCTACCATCTAGAGAAAGAATGTCTATGAACATTTTAGCTAATAAATGTGCCTGGAGCCATAACAGTCCCCACATAAACTTACACACGTCCATGGATTCATACTCAGCACCCCCCCCCCCCCACACACAACGCACGCATGCATTACATATCCATTTATGCAGCGTGGCCTCCACATACACACCAGTTGACGTTGAGAAGCAGCAGCTGCCATCACCTTTGATGCAGGAAGGGAACAATGGCAGCATTAGATATTGAGTGATCATGCAGAGACACAAATATACTGCAGCGTAAGGTCCATTTGAATGTGTTTTTAACAGTGATTTCTGACTATATTCATTGCTTGCTGCCTCAACTCACACCCTCTTCCACCCCAAATCTCAGTATCTTAAGTTAGGAGAAGGATTATTTCTCATCCAAGGAAAGTCAGATGCAGACTGGGACACCCTTCTCCATCTGGTAGCTATGCCATCTGGAATACTTGACCATCAAAGTCGCCATGGTGGGGCAAAGGGCATGGTGGCTCTTAACTGCCTTAGCCTTGAACAGACACGATACTTCTGCTCATTGCTCATTGGCCACAGCTAGTCGTGTGGTCTCAGTCTCACTCCCCAGGCACGTGCCAGCAGTTGGAACCCTGCCAGAATCCAACTGCCACCCTGAGTAGGATTGTACTATATTGTTTTATGGTGTTGAGATCATATTGTGAACATAACTTTTTGTTTTCCTATTTTAATTCAACCTTACAGTGTAAGCATTCCCCACTACAAGCTCTTCCTAAACAGCATGTCGAGTGGTCCACCTGTACTTACAAAATACACAGTTTAAGAAATAAAACATAACAGATATAGTTGATGCCTCCGCATGGCCCTCCCCAATTGCATATCCCAGCCAGGAAGTAAACCACTGTCCTGAAATTTGTGTTTACAATTTCCATGCATATCTGTGTTTACATTTTTACTATTACAAATGATATTTTTATTACCCATATGTGTTTTCCTAAACAATATATGGATAGGCTGGCTGGTTAGCTCAGTTGGTTAGAGCCGGGGGCTGAGGACACCAAGGTCCAGGGATCAATCCCTGTATAAGCCAGCCGCAAAAAAAAGAATAGGGGAAAAAAAAAATCATACCTAAACAACATATGGAAGTGTTGCAGCTTTATGTGAAAGGTATTATGTAAGTTGCATTCCTGTGTAGGAATGTTTTCAAATATTATTTACTTTCCTCTAAACCAAATCTCATCAGACAAGTCCTGAATGTCTCCTATCTTTCTCTCTGTGTTCCAGGTACTGTTCAACCAGTTCAAATACTTTTTCAACCTTTACTTTTTACTTCTCGCTTGTTCCCAGTTTGTTCCTGAGATGAGACTTGGAGCACTCTACACCTACTGGGTTCCCCTGGTGAGTAAATCAGTGGTGTTGTTTGTTCAGTAGCCTCAGAGGTTTGGAAACAATGTTCTTTGTTTCTCTCACCCAAGCATCTGGAAAGGGATAGTGGCCCTTTAAGGAAAAGGATGCCCTCAAGCCAACACACTGGGAGTCCCTGGGATTTGACTGTTGCAGCCATCTCGCGCACCACAGGGACAAACCAGAGCAAAGCCTGTGCTATTCATTTGGTCACTCGATCAGCTGTTCACTCATTCGTTGTTTCAACAAATATTTATTGTATGCTTATTGTAGAAGGTACAGTTCAAGACTGGGGACTCAGTAGCAAGTGAGAAAGACAAAGCCTGGATTATATTATTTGAACTGTTTTTTGAGAGCCCATTTCCTGTTTGTAGAGTATTTCAGTGTGAGGGGTTACAAAAGTAACAGAATCTGTGCTTTCATGTACACAAAGTGTAGCCAAACTAACTGGCTCCTCCATTCCATTCCTTCCCTGGTCTCCTTTGATTTCTTCCTTCTTTTTGGCAAGCAGTTTTTTTTTTTTTTTTGGTCTTTTTCCGTGTCCGGCAACGGATCGCAACCCTCAGTGTCGCCCCCGTAGCGGACCGGGACTGGCAACGGGATCGCAACCCTCGGCGTTGCTCCCGTGCCTCGCTCAGCCAGTGAGCGGGAACCGGTCTGTACGTGGGACCCGAACCCTCGGGTGGGAGCGCCGCCGCGCTTCCCAAGCGGCGCACTATCCAGTGCGCCACCGGGCCGGCCCTTGGCAAGCAGTTTTTGAGCACCTACTGTGTGCCAGGCACTGTGCTGGCTGCTGGGAGTGCAGCCATGAAGGAAATAGACAAAAATTCCTGCCCTCCTGGAGCTGATATTCACAGGGGATACACAATAAATAGGTCAACAAAATGGTTCCAAATTGTGGAAAATGCTATGAAGATAAGAAATTAAGGTCAGAGGATGGATGCGGAATCCCAGGCACATTTAGTATTTTCTGATGGATGAAGGTGTAGAGGGTGGGAGATGTGGAGGGGGCAGCCTTAACCAGGGTGGTTATGAAAAAGGCTTCCTTGAGAAGGTGATGGGAACAGGCTGGGAGGGTGAAGAGTATTCCAGGTGGCAGTGATGCAAAGGTCCCCTGGTAGGCAGACCGTCTGAGGAACAGAAAGAAGCCCAATGTGACTGAAATGTGGAGGGGATGGAACTGATTTCCCTTTTCTTCAAACAAATATGTAACAAAGGGGCCGGCCCGTGGCTCACTCGGGAGAGTGTGGTGCTGATAACACCAAGGCCACGGGTTCGGATCCCATATAGGGATGGCCGGTTAGCTCACTGGCTGAGCATGGTGCTGACAACACCAAGTCAAGGGTTAAGATCCCCTTACCGGTCATCTTTTAAAAAAATATATATATATATGGAACAAAGTATAATTGCTGTTTATATCTCACCAAGCAGGACTCAGGGGGAACTCTTGGATTCTCTGCTCACAAATCTTATAAAATTTTTTAATTAAGAGAAAGTTGTAAAAATAGAAAAGATTTAAGCCTCCTTAAAGAAACAAAACCAAATAAACTTTTTTATTTTGGTAGCAGATGAGAGATGATAAGGATTTGGTGCAGAGATACCTATGGAGTTGGGGTAGCCAGCTGCTAAGGGACCTGTAAATGGGTATCTTTACACCTGTGCATGCCAAGTTAATCAGACAAGTTATGCCAGCAACTTTAGCCCTAGAAGAGGAAGGGGGATTATTTCTTCCACACTAGCAACGAAGGTACTTTTGGGATGCAAGAGCAGATCTTTCCTGCTCTGAGTCATTTGTGGATGAGGTAGGATGCTGGGAGCTAGAGAACCTTTGTCTGAGCATCCTTCCCTGGGATAGCAGACGCTCCTGTCTGTGTCCGGTGGCATGCTTAACCAAATGCTAGGTGGTGCCTGTGCTCACAGGCACTGAGTGTTGTGATCATCTGGAAGCTGTTGTTGCCTTCACCCTGCAAAGGCTGCTAGAATGAAGCCTTGGGAGCGTATGTCCTGTCCAGGTGGAAGCAGGTACTGTGCACGTTTCCATCAGGGATACATGGACCAGGAGTTGCCAGACCCAAGAGTTAGAAAGTTTAGAGTTTTACATGAAACACCCTAACTTTATTTTAGTTTTTTAGTTCCACAGCTGTTTACTACATATTCATGTAAAATCAAACCATAAGTTACTTATTTTTAAAAATTTAGTCTATAATATATACAAAATATCATTTATCACACTACCTTCTATTATCTTTTTAAAGTGTAAATTATTTGAGAGGTTATACAGTCACATGGTTTAAGAAATGCAAAATGTCTCTAGTGAAAATTCTGCTTCCATCCAGTTTTGCCCCCAACATATTGTCATTCATTTTTTGTCCATCCAGAGTTTATCAACAAACCAGCACAATGAATAAAAATTCTTACACCTTTTCTCCTTTTTAGAGAAAAGGTAACAGAATACACATAGTTCTAAGTCAGTTTTTCTTTTTAATTTCCAGTATGCCTTTTTCTTGATTTTTGAATGTTGACAACTCATTAAAAAAAAAAATTAAAGCACTATGTGAAGTGGACCCACTCCTGATGGTCTGTTGTTCAGGCTGCCCCTTTGCTATCTCTGCTCTGGTTGAAGATAGGGGTGTCTCTTACTCCTTCACCCTAGTGCTAGCATGGAGCCCTCCAGACCCCATCTCTCAAGCCTTGTCCATTGGATTCTTCCCAAAACCAGATCCTGCCACTCTCCCTACTGCCTCCAAAGTGGCTTCTGTTCAATTTTCTTTTCTTTTCTTTTTTTTTTTTTTAATTACAAAGGATCTCATAATATTGGAACAAAAATTTGGAGAGCCAAAAAAACACACACAAAGAGGGGAATAAAAATGGCTGTGCAGCCACTACCCTGAGATCCCCTGTTTATGATTCTGCTGTTTCCTTCCAGTCTCTTCTTACCTATGCATGTGTTTTATACACATTATAACATGCATTGTATTAAGCTATATTCTGTGAGGGCACATGTTTTTAAAATTGAGATCCCAAGATGTCTGTGAGGGCAGCCGTGTGTTCCCCTCTCCTTTTGCCATTTGCATTTCAAGCACGATATACAATCTGGTCTGTGCTCTCTCCGCCCCTTGTCCATCTGCCCGGTTTGTAGTATAGTCCCATCATCTGAACAGTTCCTGAGGTACAGACATATTAGCATCCCCACAGTCTCATTTGCATTGTTAATTGGCATCTGTGGTGGACAGGGGCCTTTAGCCATATTTGGCATAAATTTTTCCTTATCTTAACCAAGACTCATGTACATATGGCTAAGGGGAAGTGGAATTATGCAAGAATTTAAATGAGAAATAGCTAGGTAGGAAATAAGATCAGCTCTGTCGAATTCTTTGAAGAGTGGTTATTGGAGGCTCCTATTTACTAGAGGGAAAGGAGCTAGTAGGAAAAAAGAATTCCTCACTTGACAAAGAGAACTCAGAGCCTAAGGAGAATAAGGAGCTTGTCAAGATCACACTAGGATATAAATTATTAAAGGGACCAGGGACATTCTCTCTTTTTCCAAGGAGAGGAGTTTGGAATATATGGTGGGCTTTGGGGTATGTGTGTGGTGTAGGGGGTACAAAGATGTTCCTTGCAGCATGGTTTATGTAACTTCAACAATGCAAACAAGCAAATGTGCATCAATAGCTACCTAAATGATGATATAACTATACTATGCAATGTTGTTGTGTGTTTTTCCGTGTCCGGCAACGGATCGCAACCCTCAGTGTTGCCCCCGTACCGGACCGGGGACCGGCAACGGGATCGCAACCCTCGGTGTTGCTCCCGCGCCTCGCTCAGCCAGTGAGCGGGAACCGGTCTGTATGTGGGATCCGAACCCTCGGGCGGCAGCGCTGCCGCGCCTCCTAAGCGGCGCACTATCCAGTGCGCCACTGGGCCGGCCCAGCATTCTCCAATTTTTATGAGCCCCCCGCCCCCAACACACACAACAAATATTTGTACATACTTAGGAACGTAAATACATACAGGTCTGGAAGGACCTTCCCCAAAGCCAGTGGTTATCTTTGGAGCTGGGAGTTGCCTTTAATTCTTTTGTTTTTGATCTTACTTTATGGGGACTTCTATCTTAAGTCCCCTCAGCTCCCTTCTGGAAGTTGGTGAGTTATAGGAAACTAAATAGATAAGATGGGCACACAGGGTGTTTGAGGCCCTTTCGAATGAGGTTGTTCCCTTCTACAGCAGAGGCCAGATTGTACTTGGGGTTGGTGAGTGAGGAACAAGGGGTTGATTGTGACTTTATTGCAAGTGCCATTTGCTTTTCCCTTTTCCCTTACTAGTAATATTCCCTGCATCAGCAATGGAGATGGAAAACTCCAGTGTCTGCAGTGGGGTGAGGCTGGTTGGCTGTGGTGAGGACTGGGAGGAATTGGAGGGCTGGCACCCTTCTAAAGAGCCCTGCCCTTGGCTCCAGCCACTGTCTCCTTGCTAAACGATGCTCTGATTTTCCAAAATGTAGGACTTTCAATGTAGGTAGTAACTGTGATTTTTTTTTTTTTTTTTTTTTTTTTTTTTT